GACTTGTTTGCCCAGCAACTTTAATACCCAAACTTATTATGCAGAAAATTTGGGAACATAACATAGATTGGGATCATGAAATACCCGAAGAGTTAGCCCAAGAGTTCAAAATCTGGTTAAGTAAAGCACATTTCATCAATCAATGTCTGTTTCCTAGACATATCTCAATCGCACCTTTAGAAAAATGTCAGACAAGTCTTCATATATTTTGTGATGCCAGCCTAACATCTTTTGCTGCATGTTTGTTTTTAAGAACAAAATTAAACGAACAGGTAAAAGTCCAATTAGTTTTAGCAAAAAATCGGGTAACCCCAGCTAAAAGAAAAATGTCTTTACCAAGACTAGAACTTATGGGGGCGCTCATTGCAACTCGACTATACAAAGAGGTTTTAGAGTCAAGATTGCTAACAAAATGTAAGGAATACAAGGTTTATTTTTGGACTGACTCTGCTGTGGTGCTATCATGGCTAAAAAGACAAGCACATTGGAAACCATTTGTTTCCAATAGAGTGAAAGAAATATGCTCAACAACCAATCGTGACGATTGGTACCATCTACCTGGTGAGTACAATCCATCAGATCTTCCATCACGAGGTTGTGACGCAAAGAAGCTTATGGAAAGTAGATGGTGGGAAGGCCCAGCATGGTTGAAGCTTAATGAGAAGGATTGGCCAAAATCAAACATTATAAATGTCAATGAAGAGATTGTAGAAGCAGAAGTAACCAAAAACGCCAAGATTAATACAAATGTCACAATAGAACCATTCAGTCAAAAATTGACATATTTTTCAAAATATAACCGCATAGTTAGACTTGTGGCATGGATATTACGTATGAATTGTAAAATAAAAATAAAGTTTGGCATAAAGGAGTCAGACATAACAAATGATGAATATATCAATGCAGAAAAGACACTAATTAAATTATTACAGAAAGAGAATTTTACAGAAGGGTTTTCGTTACATAATATAAATACAGAAATAGATGCCGATGGGGTGATAAGAGTAAAAACACGTTTAGATTTGAGTAAAGAAGACAAGAATTTTGTAAGGCCAATACTTCTACCAGGAAAAAACGAAATCGTACAGCGGTTAGTGCGACAGAGACATGAAAAGTTAAATCATGGAGGAACTCAGCTCTTACTATCCAACCTCAGAAACAATTTATGGATTTTAAACCTAAGACGTCTTGTTAAAAGCGTTGTTTCTAAATGTGTTATATGTAAGAGATACAAGACAAAACATTACGAGGTTCCTGAAGCACCATTGCCATCAAACAGAGTTGAGGCAAATGCAGCATTCCAGATAACTGGTATAGATTTAGCGGGACCTCTACATCTCCGTGACCAAAGCAAATGTTGGATAGTATTATTTACTTGTGCTACATATAGAGCAGTTCACCTAGAGCTTGTGGAATCTTTATCCACAAATAGTTTCTTGATGGCCTTACGTCGTTTCATAGCTCGAAGGGGCCGCATAAACATTATATATACTGATTGTGGTACGAATTTTCAAGGTTCAGCCAATTTATTAAAAGAGGTTGATTGGGCAAAAGTCGAAGCAGCAACTAGCATAGTTCCACCAGCTATCAAGTGGCGTTTTGTACCTCCACGTGCGCCCTGGTGGGGAGGATGGTGGGAGCGCCTTATAAAGGTAGTAAAGGAAATGTTAAGAAGAATCTTGGGAAAACAATCCTTAACTTTGATTGAATTATCAACAATAATTTGTGACTGCGAAGCAATCATTAACAGCCGACCATTGACATACGTAACAACAGCTGATGACTCTCTTAAACCACTTACTCCAATGATGTTTCTACATCCCTTAGATAATAGTGAGATGTCTGATTTAGATCTGATTGATGCAAAAAACATAAATATTCGTTTACAATATCTAAACAAATTACGTGCAGATTTTCGACAACGTTTTAGAAACGAATATATTGCTTTAATTTGTAGTAAAGATAGATGTAAACAAAATTTGCCGAAATTAAACGATATTGTTCTTATTGAAACTGACACTAGTCGGCTATATTGGCCATTAGGTATTATAAAGGAGTTAATTATAGGTGCTGATGGTAATTGTAGAGTTGCAAAAGTACAAACAGCTACCGGTGAATTGGTTAGAGCTGTACAAAGTCTTTACCCACTGGAATTAACAACAGTTACAAACGAATGGCACAGGGCCAGTCCATCTACTAATAGAAATAAGACAGAGACTAACCCTAACATTAAGGATTATAGTTCCCAGGCGACTTTGAATTCGGACATAATATCATCTGACTTACCTCAAACATCTTCTATTAGTACTAGACATGGTAGAGTAATTAATGTTCCAAGAAGATTCTTAGATTAAGTTGACGAAATGCATTTAGTCAATTAGTTAGGAATGTTTATTTAAAATAATGCTCTCTAATTAACATTAAAAATTGAAGTCGTTGAATTCATCTATACTTGTAATGAATGTGTGAATACACTTAAAATTAACTTAATTCGATTACATGTTATGTTTAAGTATTTTGTATTATATTATATCGACTCTACTATCATATTTTTCTGTGTGGGGAGGATGTTGTAGATTCAAGTAGGTTATTAGTCAGAGAAAAATACTGGCAGCTATTGCCTATGGTTATACAATATATATATATATATATATATATATATATATATATATATATATATATATATATATATATATATATTACTTTTTATTCTGACTTTGATCGATGATGTTTAAAAAAATGAAAAAGTAACGATAGGATGTTTTAATGGACATGAAGAAAATATTATAATTAATAACTGTTTTAACTTGTTGTCTTGGTTATATTGATTAAAGTAATTAACAAAGAAAAGTCTTTAATTGCAACTACCACAGTCGGTGCCAAGATAATGAAACAAGAATTGTAATTATTTATTTAAATAATAATTGTTAATTATTATTAAAATATATTTTTTAGCCTTTTTTATAGGATAGGGTGACAAACGAGCACACAGTCCACCTGATGGTAAGTGGTTGCTGTGGCCCATTGAAATCTATATCAATCCTCAATAAAGAATCAAAATGCAGATGCGTTGTCACCCGTGAGGACTAAGATGGAATGCCTCGTTTCCAGTAAAAAAGGGTCTCCGGTTCTCTACAGTCACCATACGAAACACAGCAGTGTTAAGCTGCTATTTTACGCTGGTATTTTTTGAGAGCGTGGTCCTTCCCCGGTCGAGCCGACCCATTCGTACTACAACTATACACTGTTAATATAGCTGCAGCATGGCTCTACGACGTGAAAAACGTCTTTTTCCGATACCGGGAATCGAACCTGAGCCACCTGGGTGAGAGCCAGGTATCCTAGCCACTAGATCATATACGAAAAACCCTTTTAATTAGACTAAAACTTATAGCGTTAGACCCCTGAGCATGGCATAATCTATACAAATAAATAAAATTGAAGTGTCTGTTTGTAATGTAAAATCAACAGCTTTTTTATTAAATGCATATGAATTGCAAATTAAATGTATGTACGGTACTTTAAACAAAAAACAATATTTTTAAAATTTTGTCTATCTTTTCGTCTGTCTGCCTGCCTGTTTGTTCTAGCTAATCTCCGAAACGGCTGGACCGATTTTGACGGGATTTTCACTGGCAGATAGCTGATTTTATAAGGAATAACTTAAGCTACTTTTATCTTAGAAAAATAATAGGGCTCCGCGCAAAAAATTAAACCTATGAAATTCAAGCGTAAAGAATTCGCTGGCGAAGTCGCGGGAAACAGCTAGTAACTTATAATAGCCTATTATCACGTTCAGGGGTCTATCGCTCCTCATTTTTTGCAGTCAAACACGAATCTCACTAGTTACACACTCGCACTGCTGATCTTAGATTGGGATCCATATTCTCCGCGAAAGAGTTCCCGCCTTATTGTGGCCCTAGTAGGCACAGCCTACTCACTCATAGTAACCATGGTTGACGGACTGCTGTGGATTGGTTACCCTCTTCCCTGCCCGCAGAAATCGATATGAAGTCCCAGGGGAAGAGTATATCAAAGTTTGAAATAATAAGAACAATCCATTTCCTATATAATATCTGTTGTTCTTTACCATGTTCTTTACCAGTTCTAAGAAGATTATTAAGCAGAATAGTATCCGCTGAACTGTTAAAGTGTAAATTGGTGGACTTCTCGTGCCCCATAAATATTTAGTAATTTCTATTATATATTTTCTAATTTCCGCTGGATATTTTCCTTCGCTACTACGGAATTATTAGTAAATCAGCCTTAAGAACTGCAATTAAAATTTTCATCGTTACAAATTGGAATCGAGCGCTTAACAACTGGCCTCTGCACGGAATATTAAAAAGGCCTACCACGGCCGTTTAGAACTATTCTCCCGATATAAATAAAATATTTTTATTTCGTCCAGCAAACAGTCGTTTTATTTAAGGCGAGCGCCACCTCACACAATTTTTTTATGGTAGAGCTTTAAACAAACTTTTCATAATTTCCGTAAATACACCTACCTCTATTAGCAGTTAGTAGTAGTTGTTGACTAACCGTTTTCAAAGAATGAGGGCTAATAATCTTCTCCTCACTAGATGTCGCTAGTGGACACCGAGGTGAAAGTTTTTGTAACACAATAGCATGTAATGATGACTAATATTATTCCACTCACCAGATGTCGCTACTTGACATTGAGATAAAGTTTTTTTGTTACACAATGTCATTTATATGAGTAGTAAGTTTTAAATAAAAGTTTATCAGTTTCTAGAGTATTCTATTAATACACAAAACAATGCCTTATTTAATAATTTTTCTACTTTTATGAATATCTGTGGTATGGTTAATTTGCTTTTAATCATCATCATGTTAAAATAAAATATAGCTAAAAGTACAGAAAGAAACATTAACATTTACATTTTTCGAACAAATTAATTTTCCCGCTAAGAAATCTGTCAAATAGTACACCTCAATTTGAGCTGTGTGAAAAATAATAAAATTATTCTTTAATACAGATGCAAGAGCTTCCAAAACACCAAACGCGGGGAGATTTGCCGAATACCCGGTTGTACTGTAACGCCATCTGTCGGCGCGCAGCCCACACCAATACGAATGCCGCATGTTCAACCAGAAACGTTTCGGCTTTTTATCCAATACGTATATACTGGAAAGGTAATGTCTATCTTTTTTTATTCTACTAATTACTATTATATATAGTGACTTTCCTGTGGTGGTTATCTCTAACGTACTGGATCATTTATTATCTTTTATTATCAATGAGAAGCTATCAAAAAGCTTTATCAATGCTTCGGGCTGACGAAAGCACCTTTTTAAAACCCATTACAACGAAGAAAAAACAAAACGAACGTAGTACACTTGTACTAGCAATGTAACAATATGAATTCGAAATGAAATATGAATTTCTCAAATTTAATGTGTAAATATGAGCTTAAAACACTGCCATCTAGCGATAACTTGCTGGACCATTTTCCACGGACATTGAGATAAATTATGCGGGTACTAATCCGTAAAGGTAGGCCACATGAGTAGATGGTGGTTAAAAATATCTGTAATGTTTTATAATATCATCAATATATTATAGTTATTAACATATCACAAAATATACATAATAATGATGTACATTTTAATTTTCAGTTTCATAATACTGTTATTCTACTTATTAAGTATATTATACTTATAATTATTTAGTTAATATATTGCAAACGAAACAATAATACAGCTCATGGATATCTAAACTTTGTAAACATTTTTAGCTTTTGCTGCAAGATTCAGGTGTGTTCGAGATGATGACTTTAGCGGCAGACTTAGGCCTAGAAGACCTTCGTGCTGCCTGTGAAGATCATGTAACGTCCACTTTAAGTGTGGAAAGTGCTTGTACGCTTTTGGCTGCTGCAATGGAAATCCAAGATAGACCAGGTTTAGTATTTTTTTCTTATAATTCTTTCATAATTTTACTCAATATGTCAGTGGCGATGGTGGTGTAATGGTCAGCATAGTTGCCTTCCAAGCAGTTGATCCGGGTTCGATTCCCGGCCATCGCACACTTTTTTCGACTTTTATATTTTTTTTGACACAATGTACTTTAATAAGTTTCTGATCTACTTGTACAGTAAATATTGAGCTCAGCTTAATACTAATCATGCAATGCTATACTAGCAGCACTGACCTCCATATATACATAGTAGTAAGCTGGACTTGCTACACCCACAAAACTTTTGTGGTAATTTGAAGCAGAAGCACTGCCATTGAGCATTGTGTGTACCGAGAGCTAAATTTGACATATTTTGCAAATGGCCGTTGTTTTGCCCAAAACGTCTAAGACTTTACACTTTAAAGTTTTAAACGAGAAAAAGAGCGTGTGTTGTGTCTAGTTCGGTTGTGTTTCATATTAGTAGCAAGTGATTATAATAATTATAACGGTTTTGGTTTTAAATTAGCTAGTTTCTATGGTCGTACAAAAAGTAGAGGTGGCGTATGTATTTTGATAAAAGAAGATATAGAATGGAATGAAATAAAATGTGTTACGGAATTAACAGAATCCGAGCAATTTGAATGTTGTGGAATAGAAATTCCTTTACATAACATTTACGTTATATGCATCTATAGGACACCTGGTTCAAATGTAAATATATTCTTCTTTAAATTACAAAATTTATTGTCAAAATTAATAAATAATCATAATAAAAAAATCGTTATAGCTGGAGACTTTAACACTAATACTTTAGAAAATAGTAAAAGTTCAATTGAATTAAATGACATTATTCTGAATTACAATTTATATAGACATATTAATGAACCAACTCGTGGAAAGAATTGTATTGATCATATGATTAGCAATATAATGAATGCAACAGCATGCATTAAAAAATTATATTTATCTGATCATGAATCGGCGCAAATACTATCTATTGATGTGCATAAACAAAGAAAAAAGTTAATGGACATTTGGGAGTACAAAAGGAATTACAATTTATATTACATTAACATGTTTCGCGAATATTTAAAAGAAATATAGAATAAGGATATTAATGTTGCATATAGTAAATTCAAGGAACTTTTTATGTTATTATATAATCTATGCTTTCCAATAATTAAGAAAAAAAAATTAAACACGAATTATAAAAATAACTGGATGACAAAAGGTTTAAGACTAAGTTGCTTAATGAAAAGGAAACTCAAAGTTAATTATTATGAAAAAAATACTGCAGAGAACAAAGAAAAATATAAAAGGTACACTAAATTACTAAAAAAGTGTATTGATGTGTCCAAAAGAATAAATTATTTTAAACGAATAAATACCAATAAAAATATGGGCAAATGTTCATGGAATATAATAAAATCGGAAGAAGGGTCAAAATCGATCAATTATTATGTGAACATGATAAATAAGAATGATGAATGTCTAAGATCTCCACAAAAAATTGCTAATGCTTTTAATGAGTATTATGAAATTCAGACAAAGACAGTTAATTTTAACCAAGCGGGAACAACACGCCTCTATAACATTATAAGCCCGTGCAAAAGCATGTTTTTACGTCCGATTACTTTGCAGGAGACAAAGACATTAAGAGGCAACTTAAAAAATTCTAAAAGTGAAGGCTATGATGGTATAAATACGAAAGTTATCAAATACTGCAAGGATGAAATATCGCCTATACTTACATACTTGATAAATTTATCATTCGAAATTGGTGTTTTCCCAGAGTTATTGAAACTATCTTTGGTCAAGCCCTTATTCAAGCAAGGTGATAAAAAAGATATGAACAATTACCGTCCAATAACAATTTTGTCCGTTTTCTCCAAAGTATTTGAAAAAGCTATGCATAGTAGGCTTACTCATTATTTTAATGAAAATAAATTTATAAAAAAAGAGCAATATGGCTTTCAGCAAAATAAATCAACCATGATGGCATGTTTTGATCTATTAAAAAGAATTACAGATGCAATAGATGATAAGATAAATGTAACAAGTATATTTTTTGATATGTCAAAAGCATTTGACTCTGTTTGCCATGACACCTTACTATGTAAGTTAGAAAAGTATGGAATAAGAGGACTAACATTACAATGGATGAAATCGTATTTATCATCAAGAAAGCAGTGTGTGGAAATTGTAAGCCCTAACAAAAATAATGTTTTGACAAAATTTAGATCGCAAATAGTTCTTAAAAACTCTGGCGTTCCTCAAGGAAGTGTTCTCGGGCCTTTCTTGTTTATAATTTATATAAATGATTTACCGGATTCAACTCCGTTCCCATGCATTTTATTTGCGGATGACGTATCATTGATTATAAAGAATAGCCATAGAAATAAACATCATTATGAAAATGACATAAAATGCGCAATTAATGATGTTATTTTATGGTTACATGACAATAACTTAAAGGTTAATATTACTAAAACCTGTTATGTACAATTCTATAGTAATATTAAAAACAATCTTGATCTTGACATAATGTATAATAATGATATACTAAAAGAAAACGAACAGATGAAATTTCTGGGAATAAAAGTTGACAGTAATTGTAATTGGATGGCTCATATTGACGAAGTCTGTAAAAAAATTAATAGATTTGTATACGTCCTAAACAGGTTAAGTTTTCGTCACGAGAAACTGCACTCATTGCATATCATGGGTATGTTGCAGCAATTTTAAGGTACGGATTACTAATATGGGGTAATAGCTCTTATTCAAAAAGAGTTTTTTTAGCTCAAAAAAAGTGTGTAAGAGCCTTAACTGGAGCTAAATGGTATGAATCATGTAAGCCCTTATTTAGGGAGCTTAACCTCCTAACTTTGCCAGGAATGTATATATTTGAAGCAGGTGTTCATGTAAAAAGGAATTTACAGATGTACAAGAAAGCGTCCGATGTATATTTGCGTAACACTAGAAAATCAGATAGACTAGTATTAGACCGAATACCGAAAACTGCATTCTATCAAAAGGGTTGTTACGCGATGAGTATAAAGATATTTAATAAACTACCGGTAAATGTTAAAGAAGAGATGGAAATCGGTAAATTTAAAACCAAACTCAAAAGCTGGTTGTTATTAAAGTGTGTTTATGATATAAAAGACTTCTTGAATGAATAGAATATCGTTCCCTAAACTTGACATATCCATGCTTTAAACATTTATATTTATTTGATGTTCTTTAGATTAAATACTCCTTTGACATTTTAATTTTTTTTCTATATATATTTTTTTTTTGGAGTTTATGGCCTGGTATCTAGACCTTTAGGCCAAGTCTTAAGTATTTTTATTCGGTTTATTGTAATTTCCCCACTCCTTCATAGTATACTGCTTCACAATATGTTGATGCGTCACATTGTGCAGTTCTTGGGAGATTTTGGCGGCAACTTGATCCAGCAGACAGCTGATAGTTGGCGATGGTATCTAAAGGTGCCTATGCAAACAAACAGCTTATCTTGAGAATCCATCACCATCAGAGCACTTGTTTCACTGTTTCCACTAATAGTTCACATGCGTAGACACTTAATACACAAAATCGCAACACTTTTACATATCAAAGTCCACTTCAAACCATTATTTAAACAATAATACAGGAGCAGCAAACCGCCGCTGGTCAATTTCCCGCCAAAACTCCTTTTTCTATATATATGTAGGAAGTGACAACAGGAGATCCCACTTCTGATGTAGGAAGTGAGAGGGGGTATAGTACAGAGTCTGATCTTGTAGTTGGTAATAATAATTAATTAGTTTACACGAACTAATTATCCAACGAGTCGAGGTTAAACTAGTAACGGAATACGACAAGCACACCGTCCCACGTCAGAGCCAAGACTGTCTTAACGACGACCGCTCCGTCCGTTTTATACAAGCAGGACGGGTGGTAACGCAGGTGCAATGCCGCAGGTGTGCGGTACACGTGTCTTTTACAAGAATTCTGTCTAGCCAGACCGACGCCACCGCACCTACAACGGTGCAGGTGCCGTCACGGCCATACTGACATGCGTGCGTCCTCGCACGCGCTCCATCTTAATTTTAGTTATCTGTAGACAAAAAAACATCGTTCGACTATCCTGACATAAAAGCGTCTGGTCCGGTCTATATTGACCCTTCAGACTTGGGTCACAGTCTGTTTTGTTCCGGCAGTAAGCCCTACAAAACTTTAATCATCTTTATGTTTGATCGGAATGATTAGTCTGTAGCTTTTTCTATTTTCTCTTTTTTTATTTTTCAAGTACTGTTTTCGTTAGTCCGGAATCACTATTCCCTATAGCTATATCAATGGACCGGCACAAAGCCCTGCAATGATTGTAAGAACTATTCTTTTTTCTTGATCTCTTTTTTTTCAGTACTATTTATGCTAGTCCGGAATCACTATTCCCTGTAGCTATATCATTGGACCGGCAAACGCCCTGCAATGATAGTAAGAACCACATTTTTTTTTCTTACTCTCTCTTTTTTTTCAATTCAGTATAGAACAGTTACAGACCAATCATACCGCAAACATGTCCCCGTCACAATCACACAAAAGTGTATCGTGAGGGACGTAGTGACACGATAACACCTAAGTATGTAAACCAACAGCAACTCTACACATATCCCAGTGCAGCACAGACCAGCCTCCCTGCAACTTCATGTTCCTTTCCTGCTCTAGAATAATTACTTCGTTAGAGTGTTGCAATGTCTCTAGTATTTTCTAGATGCACAGACACGGCTACCTCCGACTGTCGCACGTCCTCGTGCGGTTGACAGTAAACAGCATACGGTCTATCAGTTATCACCACCTGCTAACAGATATTAACTCTTGTTAAATATTACAACGGTCTACCATCCCAGAGTTCATTTAAGTCATGAACGCGCCGATATGGCTACCTCCAGGCAAACGCACTTCAGCTTTCCGTTCTGCTGCGTCCGTGCCACATTTGCGCCAGCGAGCCGTCGCGCTG